TTTGGAAGACCCTCAAAGTACAGGAGGGCTTAGATTGAAGGTTTTGGTTCAAGCCCATCTCTACTGCTGACATATAGAAACTGTGATAGAAGCGCGCCATGCAACAATGGTTAAAGTCATAGACTATATGCTGGCATGCTGTAACAGACCATTATTTGTCTGAAGTAGTAAAAGGGGCCTTTTGGTTTTGTGGCAGTTTTAGCAATGAGCTGGATAAACTGAAGGACATGCCAATATATCATTTTCATTTGAAAGCTCTTGATTTCTGTCCTGTAGAAGATATCTGCCTGGAATATTTAATGAGACTGATACAGCAACCTTTGTTGGACTCTTTCTGTGATTACATGGATATAAGGATGTGTATTTACTGGAGACATATCTCTTGTAACAATAAATGCATTTCTGTATTAGCCTATTGTCATGATCTCTTAGCTATAAGAAAGATTGTTCAGGCCTCTTCATACAGAATGCATTACCAGTGCTACAAAATGGTGACTGATGGTACTTAGCTGGGGAAGCATCTTGCATTTCCAACCTGACTGTGACATGATCCCTTCTGATGGCTTTGATGGGATTTTCCTTTCCTATATTTAATATTTCTTCAGGAAAGAATCCTTTAAATCCATCTTACATTCGGCAGGAGTTTTGTGAGCATCTGGGAATCATGTAATCAGCTGGTAATTTCAAATTATGCTGTACTTTAGGACAGGCTTTTCTATTCATGGAGCTCAAAGCGCTTTCTAAACACTGCATAATACAGTCAATAGGCAACGTCATCAGAGGAACACCTTGCTATCCTGGAAAGTGGATGTTCTGGAAACCCATCCAGTATGACCTGGAGTGATCACATGCAGGTGGGTCAGCTAAAAATATACTGACAATGTCTGCAGGGTGATGTCTGCAGTGATTTGCATAGGATTCGGCAAGCTTTGCAAATCCACCTTTCAGGATTTTGAAGTGAAATGCCGTGTTATTAGCTACCACTAAATTGCCATGGATCTTTGCTTGTGTAACCCAGCTGCTGAGTGTGGCAACATTCAGGACCTGGTGCAAGATCTATCCATTCAATGTGTTTTTTTCACCCTGCAGGGAACTTGTTTTCAGCTGAGAGAGCGGAGAAGGATTTGTTAGTTGCGGGGGATTTGTGTCTCCAATAGGGGCAAGGGCCAGTGCACAGTCTAGCATGAGAGGCATTCTTCTTGTTGGCTGACGTTTATTTTAATGCTTCACTCACAATTGGCTATGATGGGGGTGATGATCCTGCTTTTAACCAATCACTATGGGCTATATTGTCTCCTGTGTGGGTTAATCCTGTGAATCATTGAATCATAGAATATCAGGGTTGGAAGAGATCTCAGGAGGTCATCTAGTCCATCTAGTACTCAAAGCAGGACCAATACCAACTGAAGGTGAAGGTGACTGGAAACAAAATGAATTTGTGCTCACAGTGTTCTTTCTATTATTTTATCACAGGACAGCGAGGTTTGCCTCCTTTCCCTCTGTGGGAATTTAGCATATGGATACCATGATCATCCCTCAAGACACAAGTAGATCTCTGGGAGTTGCCAAAGGTCAAGACCATCCGTACAGAAGCTTTATGTCTCTGAATTTCCTCCAAGTCATACCTGGCCCTCTCCAGCCTCCATGGTATAATGATTCCAGTTGAGCTGAGCTGTCATGGCTTCTCCTACTTGATGCTGCCCCATCAGAATATGCAAGAGGAGGTACCCTAGGTTATTGGTGACCCACACGCCAAAGACTGTTCCTACCCTCTGTTTGTCCCAACCCACTGATCTCAAGGCTTGAACAGTCTCCACAGAGGAGACTTTGCTGGGGTTGGAGGAGGGATGAAGCAATGCTGTGGAGACACCCCTCCACCATTCCCTCCCAGTCAGGTAGGAAGCCTTGTCTTTATAACACCGATGTTTAAAAGACATTAAGGAGGGTACAGTCCCTATAAAAATAAATCTCAAATGCTATGTTGTGAAAGACTGCCAATTCCAAATCAGTTATTAGCTCAGTGGATTGGGTGCAGAACAGCTTAACTCTCTGTAGCTCTCATAAGAATAGTTCCTTCAGGTGCAAGCTATTCCTTTGAAGACCCATGTCAATGATTCTTGCCATAGGACCAAGACTTTCAAAAGTGACTAGTGCCCAACTAGAGACACATTAGAGCCTTTATTCTCATAAACAGCTTAATCCCCACCCTTGGAAAACAACAGGACTCCAAAACAAAAAAGGCAAGCAAAATCACTAGTTACTTTTGAAAGACTTGGCCTAGGTGTTTGAAAGCTTTGAAAGAAGAGCTTAAGGATGACATTTTCAAAGAAGGAACAGGGATTTAAAAATAAATTTGATGGAAGATGTATCAAAGCACTGTGAATTGCTTTGAAAATATCAACCCAAGGCTTCCTCCTAAAGCAAATTAGTAGTGAAAGTTTTAATTGCACTATCAAAAGTTTGTCTAGAATCCTCATTCCGAGCAGACAGACCTCAGATAATTGTCAGTTTAAATCGATGCTGATTGTAAAATGCATCATGGTTGGAGGAAGTTCTTTGACATAGCGAGGATGTGAGGGTTGAGGTGCGCTGGCAGAGCTGAGTGGGGACCTTGGCTTGGAATAGCTGGTAGGGTTGTTGTAAATGAGGGAGTTTAGATGCATTGTATTGATGTACTGGGTTTACGTGCCTATGGGGGAAGCTTGCACGGCAGCAAGTCACAATATGCTTCCCACCTGCTGATCTTTCCCTAACTTTCAAAAGCATCACAATCACCCCAACATGCAATAAAGAACTTCACTAGGGACAAAAGCAGCATCTTTAGCCAGATTTAATTACACAGCAGAAAGATCCAATGTTTGCTGCTTTGGGTAAAGATAATTCACCTAATTTAGAATAGGAAATTTAATCTGGGGAGCTAAATTTAACCTTCCTTTTTATCTAAATGAATTTATTGATAGGAAGAAAGCAGATGTATTCCCAGTTTCTCAATCACTTACTCTTGTCTAAAGTGATTTAGCTGATGGAGCCACAGGGCTTGATTCTCTTCTAACATAAGCTGGTATTAATCAGTAGTAATGCCATCAAGGCCAATGGAATTGTACCAGTGTGCAACCACTATAAGGAAAATCCAAATCAGGTCCACAAACACATCAAGGTATTCCTAGAAATGGCTGTCATTCATATGCCATAGTTTGGTTACTCAGTGATGTCTCTGAGGCCAGATCCTGATCTCAATTGCACTGGAGTAAATCCAGTGATTTCATATGTGCAGAAAGCTATGATCCAATGAAGCTATTCTAGACCCTGTCCCCTCCCTCAGAATTGTCCACATATAGCCTCATTTAAATCAATTAAAACTGGTCCCTGCAGTGTGCTATAGTTGTAAGAGGCATAGGGAATGACAAATGACCGCCACATTCCTATTAGGGAATAACCTTTTGTCATTGGGTACAGTAATGTAGTTTACAGAAGTTATAGCAAAACAAACAAGCAAACCTTTTAGGCCATTTGTCTTAGCACTGCCTGTTCCCACTCTGGGCAGATGCAACTGGAAAAAAATATTGACCAAAGAGTCTTTATCTGTGTCCAGTTTGTTTTGTCTATAAAATTAGTTTTTATGATACCAGTGGGATGTGTGACTGGAGATAGAAGCCAGGATTTATCTCCAGAACCGGTACCCCGCAGGTAGTTCTACCTTTATTTGGAGAGACCTCTTCTAGGGGGTGAGAAGATTGTTTTATTTCCAGGGCCTAGGACATTCTGAGACTGCCACCAGTGAGGGTGTGAACGATCATGTTGGTTTTGTGGTGTAGACACCTGACAGAGATCACCAAGTCTTTACTCAGCGCAGCCAGTGGATTGTAATGGCTCTTGGTTATTTTGGCCTGAAATGACAGAAAGCGAAAGTGTTTGGCTGTTGTGACGTTTCTGATGCATTGGAATAAAAAAAAATGTTTTGGATTTACCCAGAACCACATCTGTTGGGCTGATTTGGATCAAATGACTCAACTCTGTAACCTTCTGTAATTTCAGGGAATTTGGACTCATATTCTGGATTTGGCCAGATATTCACAAGCCAACGATGTTGGTTAGGATAAAGGAAATACAGCTTACCAGTCAAAATGCTTGCAAGGTAACTTGTATTTAGTTTAAGGTTAATCAGATCAACTATCAGCAAAACCTCAGATCCCACTTGGAGATATGATTCAATGAAACAGAGACACTAGGGTGAGATTTCTAAAAATTGCTCTGGAAATACAAATTATAATTTTACACACAGCTACCTAATTTGTAACTATTCACTTAGATTATCCATGAGAGCTGCCACATGGCCCAGATCAGTGGTTCATGTAGTCCAGTATCCCATCTCTCAGAGTGGCCGGTACCAGATGAGATGGTTTAGCAAAAGGTGCAAGAAACCCCACAGTGAAGAGTTATGGAAAAGTTTACTTACAGAGACGTTCCCTGCTTACTCCTTTTAGTTAGTGGTCAGTTTATGCTAGATACTCAACTTGAAGGTTTATATCCTGTATACACAGCAAAAATAGCTTAGTCGTGGAAGTTCTGTAACGCAGAAAAATGATATGGGGCAAAAAAAGACGCCGATCCATTGAGCACAATTCTCTTTTCACTTACACTGGTGTAAATCAGGATGAGCTAGTGTGAAAACGTCAGAGAAGAATCAGGCTCCTCTGCCTATTGTCAACTCTGGCTTTCTTTTCCTCACTTTTTTGACACAAAAGTCAAAACTGGTTGCACATTATAGGATTGCAGCCATTACCCCACTGCAACTGAAACCCAAAAGGCTGCTGCATAAGCCTAACTTCATTTTTTTTTTCAAATTGGGGCTAGATGATTAGTGCTTTCCAGATGATTAGATCATATGAAGTCAATGGGAGCTTTGCCTAAAAAAGCAGAGGGCAATGACTTCAACATTTGTCCCATTAGCTCCCCCTCCCGCTCCTCCCGCCCCCATTAATGTAACCAGAACTGGAATGAATCTATTCTTTTTGTTTAAAATACAGATTAAACTTTAAACTAATAATTGATCATCAGGGTGAAAAACACTGAGGCAAAGTTAACATTAAAGGGGTGAACAAGGCACTAGGACCTAGGAGAAGTCTCATCCACCCTGGCAGGAATTTCTTGCTTGGAGCTCAGACAACAAAGGCAGAGTGAGACTGGTTTTCTTTCTCTCAGCATCTCCACCCTACGAGCTGAAAACCGGTGAGTAGCGCTTTAGAGTGATTTCCATGCAGAAAGTAACAGATGTCACATACAAAGGGAAAAGAGAAACCTCTTTCTTTTTGTACATTACAGCATCTGCAGTTTCCAAAAAACCTTAAAACCTCTGATTCATGTTTAAAGTTGCTTGCATATTTCATTGTTTTATGCATGACATTAAAATACATATCTCACAATTTGCACTGCTGAAAAAATATGTGCAACTCGCTGTTTATGTAAAAACTGCCTGCATAACCCACTACTGCTTTGCTACATGTCAGAGACAATAATGAGATCTTACACAGGTCATGGTGACATTGTAAAATACTGAAAAAAGGGACTGGCTCCAGAAAATCTGATGGGTGGGGGAATGATAGCAACAGCTTTTCCTAGGGTTTGTACCTGATTGCTGAGCCATCGGATTTTAATCCCATTTCTGTTTTGTATGAACACACTGCTACCATATGTGAGTTGCATATTAATAGTTTTGCCCAGAGTGACAGCTTTGCAAGGTTTCCCATTTTATAGGGTTGGGGGTGTTCTTTTGGTACTGAGTTCAGTTTAAAGAGAACACAAAAATCACTGATCATTGGATTTGATCTCCAACTCAGTGCAATCTCTGTATTTTGCCCATAAAACTGCTTCTCTCTTTCCCGCTGTAATACATTTCAGATCAGAACAATGAAAGGTGTGCTTGCAGTGGCGTGATATGGATACTTTGACAGGGACAATTTCCACAATTAAATCACTTCCTTAAGGGTAGGGGGAATAAAACAACAAACAAAAAGACCCAATTTTTTTCTTCCTATTACCAGAAACAAACCCAGGAAGGACTGGTGAATTGACAATTGTTTATCGAACCCTCATTTCAATGAAAAAAAATTCAGTCATTTCTTCTTGGAAATGTAGGATGGTGTCAGAAATTGATTGATGGGCTGGGAGGGGGCTGCTGGGTGGGGGGAGTTTAGTATCTGGTTGCTAGTCTTTATTGAACAGACTGTCACAAAGAAACTGGCTACTCCCTTGTGACTGTTCTTTCGTAAATACCAGTTTGTTCCCATTTCAAATATTCAGATACTCTTGTTCCTTCTGCAAATCTACAGATTGAAACCTAACTCCTTGGGATCTGCTTGTTCTCTGCTGCAAGGGAAAGTCTCCCGTGGCGTAGGAGGTTTAATTAATTGCCAGCCTTTGTTGTTTGGGTGGGATTTTGGGTTTTTGTTAGTAATTTTCATGTATCTCTTCAGCCCAAGGTCTCAATTCACTACACTTCAAAACTGCATGGAACTTAAATGTGCTAAAACAAGGCTGCTATTTAAAAATACATTTCCCTCCCCGCAATGGGTGGGTCATTTCCAAAAATGCCCCTACCTCCTCCAGCCCCAGAACTGATGTGAAGCTAGATCAGGGCAGGACATGGGTCACTTTGAAAATAAACTGCTTCTGTTCATTCAAAGAAAAGCCAAGGTCTTGTGGGTATGTAATTTCTGTCTGGATTTGGGGCCTGATCAGTCTAATATCTCATATGCATTCCTTCCTCCCCATTCCCCTCCACTCAGCTTCAGATCTTTAGGGTTCACCAAACTATGGAACTTGATTTTGGACACTTTGACGAAAGAGATAAGACGTCCAGAAACATGCGAGGCTCACGTATGAATGGATTGCCCAGCCCCACTCACAGTGCTCACTGTAGCTTCTACCGAACCAGGACCTTACAGGCACTGAGTAATGAGAAGAAAGCAAAGAAGGTGCGTTTCTATCGCAATGGGGACCGCTACTTCAAGGGGATTGTGTATGCCGTGTCCTCCGACCGCTTCCGAAGCTTTGATGCTTTGCTGGCTGACCTGACCCGTTCTCTGTCTGATAACATTAACCTGCCTCAGGGAGTTCGCTACATCTACACCATCGATGGGACCAGAAAGATTGGGAGCATGGATGAATTGGAAGAAGGTAATTAGCATGATATGCTGATCGCTTTATGGTGCAGTGAGGAGGGGCTGGGGGAGGGGAAATTAATCTGCACCATTCAGATGTGACTCTAAGGTCACATTTCTTTAGCGCTCAATAGATGATACTGTAATGTCAGCTGTATTGTGTATCTATTGAATGCCTACCCAGAGCTTCGGGGAGGTGACTGTAGGGAGTTTTATTGCTCTAGAAAAATAAAATAAAAAATACAAATACAAAGATGAGGCAATTGGATAGAAAACATGTGCATGTCTGTCTGAAGGGGGTGTACCTGCCTGCCTACTTGAGAGGTGTGGAGGAGTCTGTGGAGGGATGGTTCGGTAAATATGTGTGTAGGGATAGGCATGTCTGTAGGGGTGTGTCTACGTGGGGGGAGCTGGGTCTGTAGGGGCATATCGTGCATTGGGGGGACGTGCACCGTGTGTGCGGTAGGGAGATGTGTGCCGTGTGTCTCTAGGGGCGTGTCTCTGCATTGAGGGGGATGTGTGCAGTGTGTCTGTGCAGTGCCGACATGTGAGCTGTGTGTCTATGTGTTGGGGAGGCATGTCTGCGAAGTGTCTGTAGGGGCTTGTGGGTGCAGTGGGGGGGATATGCGCAGTGTGTCTGTGCACTAGGGCAGTGTGTGCACTGTCTAGAGGGCTTGTCTGCACATTGGAGGGAGGTGTGTGTGCAGTGTGTCTGTGCAGTGGCGACATGTGAGCAATGTGTCTGTAGGGGCGTGTCTGTGTGTTAGGGGGATGTGCACAGTGTCTGTAGGGGCCTGTCTGCGCGGTTGGGGGATGTGCACAGTGTCTGTAGGGGCATGTCTGCGCTTTGGGGGGATGTGTGCAGTGTCTGTAGGGGTGTGTCTGTGTGTTGGGGGGGGTGTGCGCAGTGTCTGTAGGGGCGTGTCTGCACTTTGGGGTGTGTGCGCAGTGTCTGTAGGGGCGTGTCTGCACTTTGGGGTGTGTGCGCAGTGTCTGTAGGGACGTGTCTGTGCTTTGGGGGGATATGCG